CCCCAAAACCCCAAAACCCCAAAACCCCAAAACCCCTAAAAAATCAATATTTATTGAATAAAAGTTTTTTTGAAATAAGTTGTTCTTACTGAACGCTTGAATAGGTGTATAAAGTCCCTGGATATGAAATACTTTATCAATGCTCTGACATTTCCATTGTTGATCCTAAAAACAAAGTAAACTATGCAGGGAAATGTCAAAAAGAAGGAATCTGAGAAAACACAAAATTTTATTACCTGGCAGTTTATTCTGGATAATCTTATGAAATCAAAGGTAAAACTCCCAAGGATGAAGAAATCTCAGGCAAAAATGGAGTCACTAAAGTAGGAGAAACTTCATAATTTTACTAAACAAGATAGAACACCAAAAACTGAGTCTACAAACGAACACGTATATTTTGGTATTACTCATGAGGCTGGTCCTAACTCTTCTACTTATAAGCATAATCTGTGCTTTACTCTGGTACTTCCTGAACTCCACTCTCAACCTTCTTCTCTTAATCAAAATGGAATTCTGGAGGAAAAAGAGAGCCTGTATTAAAGCAGGAAACCCTAGAGGCAACAGCAATGGTAAGACAATGAAGAAGAAATAATGTAGCAAGAAAAGGAAAGGTCTCAAAAGATCAAAGACAAGAACAAGGCTAAAGAAAACTCTAAGCCTAAAATTGACAAGAAGGAGCTCCAAGTCCTTTCATGCCCAAGAAGTGGCTCATCATTGGTAAACTGACTCAAATATTTTACCGATCTTAGTCGAATTATGATAGAGGAGGGACTGTAGAGTAGCCATGAGCTTGGTACAACCTTCTTGACCAGTTCCATGACGTGTCTTTGAGGATTCGAGAAATAACTCAAGCGAAGATGTTACATGCATAGCATTTCAAACTGGTAATGATTTCATTTGAAACTTTTGGCTTTCAAGATATTATAATTGATAAATACCAAAGGCCTTTTGATATTACTGATGAGTAGTCCTGATTGTAAGCCATTTTGAAGAGTCAAAAAATGTCAGCTCTCCATTTATGAATAACAGAGATCTTCTGTGCCTATTGCAATAATAGTAATTTCGAGAAATCTTTATTTTGATTGAAATAGTTCAGCAGAAAGCATTTGAAAATGCAGTTTTAATATGTAGTTTTAAACACTACTGGCCGAATTTATCAAATTCAGACTTATTCAAGATCCCTTAGCAGTAAAACCTTCATAAGTGAGATTTATGATAATTTTTTGGCATTAGCCAGTCAAAGAGCAACTTTAATCCAAAGATATTTCAGAAACTGTACACCAGATTGGAAACCAAGATCGTGTCCAGAGCGTCAAGGAGAGATTTAGCAACAATTTTGACCCACAAGGTGAGAAATTTAAATTTCTCAAAGTTCTATTATAGATAACAACTCAAGAGCTTGGATTTAACCAAAATACATATCCTGATTTCGTTATTTATTCTAAATATTTTATTGATGCCTTAAATATATTGGGGTTTTGGGGTTTTGGGGTTTTGGGG